AAGGCGAGAGACACGTGTTGAAAACCACCCGCACACAATCCGTGAAAGTCTTGCAATGTTTTAAAAAGAATGTGCGCGGTGCTAAGGCGAGAGCCACATTTTGAAAACCACGCGCCCTCAATCCGTGAAACTGTTGTACATCGTTCAGCTTCAGGATCATACATGGTGGGGAAGTCTCAGGCGAAACGCCCGGCCCGCCCTAAAAACTGGCCCCGGGGTGCGACAGGGAGAAAATATCTATCAGATAAGAAATCGAGGAGGGAGAGAAGGAGGAGGACGAGGAAGAGGAGGAGGACGAGGAGGAGGAGGAGAAGGAGGAGGAGGACGACGACGACGAGGTGAACGAGGGGGAGAAGACGAAGGAGGAGGAGGAGGAGGAGGAGGAGGAGACGAAGGAAGAGGAGGAGGAGGAGACGAAGGAAGAGGAGGAGGAGACGAAGGAAGAGGAGGAGGAGGAGGAGGAGGAGGAGGAGGAGGAGGGGACCCCTCTTGGAGAAGAGCGGCTCCGTGGCCCCGGCGGATGTGGGCGACCGGGCGCGAACCCTCTGGAGGCGACGGCAGGGGGCGGACAGCCCAAGGCAGGCTCAGTCGGCACCGAGTCGGCACACCCCATCGAGTCGAGGTGCGCCTCATCGAAGAAAAGAAAAGAAAACATTTCACAGGCACATAAACTTTCGGAGCTCCGCGCGGAGTTCTTGGATCCGCACTGGGCGCCCCTGGCGGCGCCTCTGGCGTCGGCCCTTGGCGCGCTGCGCGCGCCAGGGAAGGGGGCCCGGCGCGGATCCGAGGAATCCGCGCGGACCTCCAAAAAATCGGATCGAGCTGCATCGGCACGGAATCGAAATCGAATCCGATCGGATGCGTCAGGGATGCACAGCAGCGCCATGCAAGCAGCGTGGCGCATCGGATCGTCGGAATCGAATCCGCCGACCCCGTGAGGCTTCCCCCTCCACTAACCCCTCCCCCGGGACCCCGGCCCGGTCGATTTGGAGGAGGGGGGGTCCCCCCGGGGACAGGCCGAACGCGCCATGGGGGACAGGGGGGCCCCAAAACGGGCCACGAGGGCCCGAAGAGGGTCCCCGGAGGGTCCAAGAGGGGCACGAGTCGCCGAAAGATCGCGCCAAGACGCCCAAGATTGGCCCCAGACGGTCCCAGGTGCCCCCAAGACGTTCCAAGAAGTCGCCACGGGGCGTTCCAAGAGACATTCCAGGAGCGAAGATCGTCCCACTCCCCTAGGGAAACCTTCCTTTTTGGCACATGCGCCTCTTGTGCTCCCTCGAGGCCCACCCAGGTCGAAGCGGCCTTCAAGATCGGCCCAACACGGGGCAAGAGGCCCCCAAGAGGGCTCCAAGACGGCACGCGAGGGCCCCGGGACGGCCCCAGAAGCCTCCAAGGCGGCCGAGGGGGGCCGAGGACGGCCCCAAGGGGAGGCCCAGAGAGGGGGAGCCCGCACGGGCATTTCGAGCTCCCGCCCCCAGGATGCCCCCGAGAGCCACCAAAAAGGTTCCAAGAGGCCTCCAGAGAGCTCCCAAGGGGCCCCCAAAAAAGCCCCCAGACGCCGCCAGGAGGCCCCCGACAGATCCAAGAACTGCCTCTATATATATATATATATATGTATATATATATATATATATATGACGCTCCCGACGCGCCTCCCACGCGACCCCATCAGCCCTCCGAACGGCGTCAAACCTGCAAACCAGACCCAGGAGGTCCACCCGACCCACGAGAGGCCCACACGAGGCCCCCACTGACGGGCATCTACTGCACCCCCCCGGGGGTCGGCGGTGCGGAGGAAGCCCGAGAAGCGGATCGGGCCAGGCAGAATCGATACGTCCAATCGGATCGACCAGATCGAGAGAGACCCTCTCGAGGTCAGATCTCGGAAACGCCGGCGGGAGGATCAGGGCTTAAAGATTGTCTGCAGCCAAGCGAACCACAACGATGGCGTTCGATACCCCAGCGCCGATTGAACCCGCAGGGGCAGAGCTCGCAGGTGGTGGCAGAGCGGATGACCCAGCGCGCGAGCGCGCGCACCTCGCATGCGGATGACGCAAGTAGCGTACGAGCGCCTGCCTACCCTGGAATCTCCTGAGGATCAGAATGCGAACTCGGCTGCTCGCCGAACGACAAGCTCCAGCACGCGCTGCGGCAATCCATTAGCAATGCACAGTCGATATCTCCCGCGTGGTCCCTCGCATTACTGAGTCAGTAAACCAATGCTTACGCGGCAAACATCAGCAAAGTAACGTGCACGAGGGACCTCACGCGTGTGCAGCAAGCCGTGCCCAGAACGCACGGTACAAGCACAAGACATACTGGCTGAAACGAAGACGCGGCGGTCGCTCTCCTGTGCACAGAGCCAAGAGAGTGGATAGCGGATTGAGCTCTGCGCATGGGGATGCTCAGCGGGCTGGCTTGTCAAATGGAAACTAGAACAACAAACAGATCGACCGTCCTTGTGGTTCAGCACTTGACAGCTGCAAGCGCCATGAACCTT